TGCTGCTGCTGCTGCTGCTGCTGCTGCTGCTGGGGCCCCTCCCCTGGGGCCCCCACCTGGGGGCCCCCGTCTTCAAAGTCTCCTTCAAGCATTAATGAGCAAACAGCAGAAACCATCGATGCTTCAAAAGAACGCAGACGCTCCCTATCTCTATTTTCATCTAAGTCCCCTAGCATACTAAAGGGGGCCCCCCCTAGGGGCCCCCCCCCCTCAGCATTTACCCCACTAGTACCCATAGGGGCCCCCAGGGGGGCCCCCATAGGGGCCCCCATAGAGGCCCCCAGGGGGGCCCCCATAGAGGCTCCCATAGGGCCCCCCAGGGGGGCCCCCATAGGGGCCCCTAGGAAGGTTTCTAATGAAGAGGGGGCCCCCATAGGGGGGCCCCTTAGAGGGTTCGGGGCCCCTAGAAGTGCTTTCATTAGAGGGCCCATAGGGGGCCCCCCTTTTAAGGGTATTAATGCTTTTAGTGGTGCTGTAGATGAACGACGTAGACGAGACAATGAACCATGCTCTGCTGCTGCTGCTGCTGCTGTTGCTGCTGCTGCTGCTGCTGCTGCTGCTGTTGCTGCTGCTGAAGCAGAAGCATCTGCTGCAGAAGATAAACCATTAGAGGACCCTAAATTAATACTCTGAGATGCAGGTAAACCCCTGTCTCCTGCAAACTCTTGAACGGGGGCCCCTGGGGGCCCCCCTGTACAAACACCACCCTGGGGGCCCCCTAAGGGGGCCCCTAAGGGGGCCCCTATAGGAGGGTTTAGGGGGGCCCCCTTAAGGGGCTGTTGAGAGGGATGTTTGTCTGTGTGTGGAGACATGCAGGTGTATGTTGAGGTAAAGTTTTGTAATTGTTTTGTATGAATAAGATTAAGGTGATTTGTCTGTATAGACATATACATATAAGGATAATATATTTAAAGAGAGGGGGTTTAGCTGCTTTTATTTTATTGTTTTTGAGCAGTAATACACAAAGAAAACAAGCAAAATAAGCAAAATATCAGAAGCCTCTGCTGAAGTATGTATAAAGATATATACAGACAAATAGCTAGCTAGCTAGCTAGCTAGCTAGCTAGCTAGATAGACTAATGGGTCAGGGTGTATAACGGAGGTATACTAAAGGAAGAAGATGAGATAAAAGATGAAAAAGAAAAGTAAGAGGTGCCGACTGAGGAGAGAAGATGAAGCCCCCAGCCCTAAACCCTAAACCCTAAACCCTAAACCCTAAACCCTAACAAGCATGTCTCTAAGAGAAAGAATATCGAAGGTAAAATAAAAGGGTTTAGGGTTTAGGGTTTAGGGTTTAGGGAGTCAAGAGTACTGCTACTCAATCAGCAACAACAGGAGGGCCCTCAAGATAAGAGGGTAATAACAAGAAAACAAGAAAAAGAAAGAAGCTTTTGTTTATTTTAGGGGTATATAGAGGTAAAAAGACAAGAATATTACAATTAGACAAATTAAGAAACAAAATAAACCCTCAAACTCCTACTTCGATGCTGCAGCAGCAGCAGCAGCAGCAACAGCAGCAGCAGCAGCAGCAGCAGCAGCAGCAGCAGCTTCCAATGGTCTATACCGATGGTGACTACTGCATGTGCTTGAGGGCAGATAAGGGGTTTTCTTGAGGATAAAAATGCAGAAAAGAAGAATAAAAATAAATAAAAGTAAAATTAAAACATAAATATATTAAAATATTTTAAAAATATTAATAATTCATCGTAATTTGCTGCTCTACTGCAGGCAGACCGGTGGGCATACACCGCAAGTGCAGCAGTATTTGTCCGCTGTTTTATTATTTTATTATTTATATTTCACTCTTTAATTCTTTTTATTATCATTTATTTCATCTTTTACTTCCTTGAGTCCTTCAGCCCTTCGTATCCACACTAAGCACTAAACCCTAAACCCTAAACCCTAAACCCTAGACCCTAAACCCTAATCCTTAAACCCTAAACCCTAAACCCTAATCCTTAAACCCTAGTCCTTAAACCCTAATCCTTAAATTCTAAATCCTCAACCCTAATCCTAAACCCTCATCCTTAAACCCTAATCCTTAAACCCTAAACCCTAAACCCTAAACCCTAATCCTTAAACCCTAAACCCTAAACCCTAAACCCCCGTGCGCTTCCTTCTGCAGCAGCACGTCGGTGAGTTGTACAGAAAACAATGAAGAGACGAGAGCAGCAAAAAGAGACAAACAGCAGCAGCAGCAGCAGCAACAGCAGCAAAAGGAGACAAAGAGCAGCAGCAGCAGCAGCAAAAAGAGACGAACAGCAGCAGAAGAACTAAATAAGAGCAACAACAAATAAATTACCTTGGGGTAAACAAACAGAAAAAATAAAAACGATAATTAAAGACAGCAGAAAATAAAAATAAAAAATAAAGCAAAAAGGAGACAGAAAAACAAATTAATTAAAATATAAACAGAGACAAAGAGACAGACAGAGAGTTAAAGATAAAGACCAGCAAAAGCAGACAAATAAATAAATAAAAATAAACAGATAAAGACAGAGACGAAGAAATTAACAGAGAGACAGAGAGAGAGACAGAGACAGATATATATATATATATATATATATATATACATATATATAAAGAGACAGATGAAAAGATAAAGAAATAGAGAGACAGAGCAAAGAAAAATAAAGAGAGACAAAAGCAAAGACAGTTAAAGAGACAGGGACCCATATATAAACTTTTCGTTTTGAATAAAATTAAAAGCGTTTTGTTTGCTGCTGCTGCTGCTGCTGCTGCAGCAGCAGCTGCAGCAGGAGACAGAGACAGCAGCAGATGTTCTGCTGCTATGCTTGCAGCATTTTTTCTATCTTTCTCTCTTTGTATTTATTCTTTGTCTAGCTATTTTATGCTGCTTCTTTTTACTTTTTTGTGTCTCCTTCTCTGTCTCCTTTTGTCGCTTCACTCTGAATGGGCTTGCTGCTGCTGCTGCTGCTGCTGCTGCTGTATCTTCTGCTGGAGAGTCATCCTCTGCTGCTGCATCTTCTGCTGCTGCATCTGCTGCTGCTGCTGCTGCTGTTGCTTTGTTTGAATTATTTTGTTTTTTATTTTGTTTATTTGCTGCTGTCTCCTTCAGGTGTATCGGCAGCACCGTCATATGTGTTAGGCGGAGGTTTGTTTGTATTTTTCTGAAGCATAAAATAATAAATAATTAATTAATATATTTTGCGTATTTTTAAACATATTTTGTCTCTATTTCTGTCTTCTGTCTGTCTATCTACATCCTCTCTTTGTCTGTCTCTCTTCTTTTATTTTTTTATTTATTTAGCTGCTCTCTCTCATGTTCAAACAAACTCTCATTGCTTATCTACACTTATTAATGTAGCAGCAACAGCAGCATATTATATTATTATTATTATATTATGCTTATTATTATTATATTATTACTATTATTATTTAATCAATATTATTATTTTACTATTATTATTGTTATTTGTGTTTTTGCGTTTATCTCTAACAAACATTAAGAAGCAGAAGACAGACAGAGAG